ATTGGTGCACCACCTAGCATAAACACATATCCTGCTGTTGACTTTCGATCTTCAGCATCACTACACCAACTCGAATCAGTGTGTCCCACTAACTTGCATTCTTTTCCTTTATCAACTGCAGGAAACAAAATGCCATAATCGAAAGTTCCTTTGAGATACCTTAGTATCCTCTTCACTGCTGCTAGATGTGATACCTTTGGCTTCTGCTTGAATCTACTTACCATACCTACACTGTATGCTAAGTCAGGCCTTGTATGACAAAGGTATCTCAATGATCCAATAAGTCTTCTATATTGGGTTGGATCAACATCTTCTTCATCTGCATCTTTCGACAGTTGCAGTCTTGGTTCTGCAGGTGTCGAAGTTGGGTTGCATTCTTCCATCTCAAACCTCTTGAGAATTTCTCCTGCATATCTTCTTTGATGCATCATCAAACCTCTACTGCTCTTGTAGAATTCGATACCAAGGAAATATGAAATCTCACCCAAATCAGATATTTCGAATTCCTTGCTGAGATCACCTTTGAAGTCTTCGATCTCACTCTTGCAGCTACCTGTTATCAACAAATCATCTACATAGAGACATAGTATAAGCAATTTACTCTTGCTTCTTCTTACATATACTCCATGTTCATTTATGCACTTCACAAATTCCTTCTCCCTTAGAAAACTATCAATTTTCTTATTCCAAGCCCTTGGAGCTTATTTCAATCCATACAGGGCTTTATGTAGCCTGTACACCTTTCTTTCTTCGTCATGTTTCACAAACCCAACTGGTTGTTTAACATAGACTTCTTCATCTAAGGGTCCATTTAGGAATGCACACTTCACGTCCATCTGACATATGTGCCAACTGTTTGTTTCTGCTAGACCAACAACCAACCTGATTGTTTCGATCCTAGCAACAGGTGCAAAAACTTCGTCGAAGTCTATTCCTTCTTTCTGTAGAAATCCTTTCGCCACAAGTCTTGCTTTGTGTCGAGTTACTTCACCTTTCGAATTCGTTTTCACTTTGTATACCCACTTGACATCAATTTCCTTCTTGCCTTGAGGTAATTCGACAAGTGACCAAGTGTTGTTGTCTTCGATAGACTTTACTTCTTCGTCCATTGCTTTCACCCACTTCGAATCTTTTAATGCTTCAGCTGCATTAACAGGTTCGATATCTGCATAGAAAGCATAATGTACCAGCTCACCTTCATTATCTATTACATCATCTGATGTAATCACACAATCTTGCAATCTTGCAGGCATGCGTCTTGTTCTTTGAGGTCTGCTTGTACTTGGTATATCTTCTGGTTCCTCTTGTTGAACTTCTCTTTCGACTTGAGTTCTGGCTCTTGAATAGGATTCCCACTGAATCTTTCTTGACATTTACCGTCCAATCCCATTCTTTAAACTCATCTATGATCACGTCCCTGCTGATCACAATCTTCTTGTTCTCTGGATCGAACAACTTGTAGCCTCCTGTCGAATGATATCCAACTAGGATCATTTGACTTGACTTGTCATCAAGTTTTCTTCTCAACTGATCTGGCACATGTCTATGTGCAATAGATCCAAATACCTTCAGATGACTCAAGCTAGGCTTCACACCAGACCAACATTCTTCTGGAGTAATTCCTTCTAGCTTCTTTGTAGGACATCTGTTCAAAATGTATGTTGCAGTCGAAACAGCTTCACCCCAAAACTCTTTAGGTAAACTCTTGCCTTTCAACATACTTCTCACCATATTCATGATGGTTTGATTTTTCCTTTCTGCAATTCCATTTTGTTGTGGAGTATAGGGTGGCACCACCTCATGCATAATCCCTTCCTTTTCACATAATCTGTCGAAGTCTTTCGACACATATTCTCCACCACCATCAGTTATCAAAACTTTGAGCTTTCGACCACTTTGCCTTTCGACCATAGACTTAAACCTGGTAAATACTTCGATCACTTCACTTTTCTTCTTGATCAGGTAAGTCCATAGCTTTCGACTGAAATCATCTATGAATGTAACAAAGTATTTGTTACCTCTCATCGAATCCACCTGGATTGGTCCACATACATCAGAGTATATGACTTCAAGACTAGCCTTCGATCTGCTTCCTGCATCCTTGCTGAAGCTATTCTTGTGTTGCTTCGCCTGCACACATTCCTCACATACCTCGTTTGGAATGTCAATTTCTGGCAATCCTGAAACCATATTTCTTCTCTTCAAATCTCTGATGTCTCTGAAGTTGAGATGACCTAGTCTATAATGCCATATCCATTCATCTCTGCTAGCTGCAGTCGAAAGACACTTGTGCTCCATCACATTTAGTTCAATCTTGAAGGTTCGATTCTGAGACATAGGAGCCTTCAAGATTACTCTCCCATTTGCATCAACGACTCTCATCAACTTATCTTTGATTGACACTTTATAATTCTTTTCGACCAACTGCCCTATACTGAGCAAATTTCTCTTCATGCCTGGTATGTACAACACATTGGAGATTACTGACCTTTTGCCATCTTTCCTCATAATCATAACATCACCAATACCTTCAGCTGCCAGGGTATTGTCATTTGCAAATTTTACCATATTTTTCTTTGAGGGCTTTATATTGACAAACCAGTCTTTCCTTCCAGACATATGTGAAGAACATCCTGAATCCAAGTACCATTGGTCCTTGAATCTATCTTCATCTCTTGTTGTGACCATCAGCATCATCTCTTCTTCTTCATGTTTTGCAAGCTTTGCATCACTTTTTTGATTCTTTCGTTTTTCTGGACAATCACTCGAATAGTGTCCATATTTCTGACAATTGTAACATTGAATGTGACTCTTATCAGGTTTTCGACCACCACCTCTTCCTCTATTTGCAACACCACCTCTTTGGTTGCCTTGGTATGGTCTTCTTTGATTCGACACGTCTCCTTCGATTTGGTTTCCTCTACCATTCGATTTGTTGTAGCCACCTCTACCTCTGTCGAAACACTTTCCTTTACCTTTGGTCTCTTTTGCTGAATGTGCCTGCAAGGCCACATCACTCTTCGATTTTCCTGCAGCTCTTTCGTTCATTCTTTGTTCATGAGATTCAAGCGTCCCTTGAAGCTCTTTCTTTGTCAATTTCGACAAGTCTTTCCCCTCTTCTATCGCCACCACTATGTGGTCGAACTTAGGAGCTAAAGATCTCAAGATCTTCGACACAACAGCTCTTGTTGTTAACGCCTCTCCACATATCTTGATTTGATTTACTAGTTTTGTAACTCTAGTGAAGAAATCAGATATGTTTTCACTGTCTTCCATCTGAAGCAGTTCATAGGTCCTTTTGTGAGTTTGTAACCTCACTTCTTTCACCTTCTCAGCGCCTCCAAAAGACTTCTCAAGGATCTCCCAAGCTTCTTTTGCAGATTCTGAATCACTAACCTTTTCGAAATTGTCTGGGCTGACACATTGATGAATTATAAATAATGCTTTATAACTCAGCTTCTCAAATTCTGTGTATTTCTTTTTTTCTTCTTCTGAAGCGTTTTCGCCAAGTACTTTGACTCCATCTTTTACAAGGTCCCAAAGACCTTGACACCTGAATAAGACTTTCATCTATTTGCACCAATTCTCATAGTTGTCAACTTTCAGAATTGGTAGCGTTGCTGGATAGTTTCCATTCCCATAACTTGTCATCGTGAATTCTTCAATCGTTCTTGATTGACACTTCCCTTGAATCGAAACAAAAGCTCTGATACCAGATGTTGGAAATCCACCAAATTCTATGATGAATTTCTACCACAATGACAATTTAATTATGAGACAAACAAAGAAAAGAAGACAAGACAATTATTTCTGCAGAGTTTCTCTCTGCCCGCAAACTGTGGAAAACTTTCTTATTCACTTTGCAACTGCAAAATACTGTGAATGACTTGCTTGACTTACTTACAAAAATAGGAGTTACTCCCTCTATTTATAACTGAGCTTACACCCTAAGCCCAAAGCCCAAAATATCTTTTTGTTACTAAATCAAATCAAATCTATTCTAGACTTAAATCAAATCTATTTAAATCTAAAATAAATCAAATCTTCTTTGACACTATGAATTACAATTTAACAGATCTAAGATATATATATCTTCTAACAAAGATATAAACAATCTAAAAGATATTTCTAAATATAAATTAATATTTAATTAAATCTAAATTAATTCTAACAATTTTTAGGGTGATTTAGTTGTTTGTGGCATGAAATTCACGTGACTAATATTGAGGAGTTAAAAAAGCATCAAAAATATTAATGAACTAAAAGTTTACAATTCAATCGAGTGTAACACCCCATTTCTCTTATATAATTCCTCTAGTTGATGGTACAATTATAAGAAAAATGCAATTTACCCAATTGGTTATTTAAACAACTATTAATTTGGCTGCTCATTGTTTTCAAAAGACTCCTCAAGTTTTTTTTTTTTGGTCAAAAAATTAGTATTCAAATATTCTTTTTAACAATAAATAATATTAATCGTCTTTTAGCAGTACACTTACTCAAGTTGACGCATAAAAAACATACACATAAATGTTTGCAATTGAATTGGCCTATTAGATACTATGTCAACAAGTCTCTCTCTTTAATAAAAATAAAATTGTAGATTATTCAACACCGATAATTTTATGGTGGATAATCTATAAATATATTTCTCAATACTTTTTAAACCTTAAAATTTACTCAACAAGTTTCTCATTGAAATTCAACTTGTTTAAACATTTTTAATCTAAGTAAAATTGTTTTAGTGTATGTGTATATTGAAAGAGAAAGCTTCGTCTTTCGCGGAAACTGCTAAATAGTTTGAATAGAAAAAGCCTTATTTTTTTGTTGTGTTTGACTATTTTCGTCATGGCGTGCGGAATATCCAAGGATAAATAGCAAGCATATGTCTTTGGAAATGAAGTTGAAAGAAAGAGAGAGAGAGAATTACAAACTAGCTCTAACTATTAGGAAGAGTGAGAAACTACTAACACTTTCATTCTTGTAAAATCCATAAAAACATGGTAAGAGCTCCTTGTTGTGAAAAGATGGGATTGAAGAGAGGTCCTTGGTCTCTTGAAGAAGATCAAATCCTCATTTCTTACATCCAAAAACATGGTCATGGCAACTGGCGTGCTCTCCCAAAACTAGCAGGTATTTGCACTAGATCTTTACTAGTTTTAGACATTTGTATGAAAAGCTTACCCTAGCCCTTAGTTTTCAAAGTTACCATTTATTTACTCATATGACACCAACATGTTCTTAATATGTGTTTATAAGTGTTTATGACGGAGAACACTTTATTGATTTATTTTTCTATCAATTTTCTCAGGCTTGTTAAGGTGTGGGAAGAGTTGTAGACTTAGGTGGATAAACTATTTGAGACCTGATATCAAGAGAGGAAATTTCACAAATGAAGAAGAAGAAAGTATCATTAAGCTTCATAAAATGCTAGGGAACAGGTAAATATATTCACTCATTTCATTCCTTAGATCCATATAACATTCATGCTATTTTCTGATATTATTATAAATGGATGATGGTGTATAAATGGATGATTATATTACATCATTTTTTTTTCTTTTCTTTTTCTCTGATTGATAAGTTAAAGTTATAGGGAGGGACCATAGGCATTATTAATTGTCAACTTGAAACAAAATTAAAATAAAAAAGTGCACTGTTAATTAAATAATATTTTGTAATCTAGTATAGTGCTTTAAATTCTACTTTAAAAATTTGGTGTGATCCCACCATTGGTGCAACTTGTAATATAAAGATTAAAGGAGAAATTGATGTAACCAAAACATACATCAAGCCTTATCAAAATTTTCAAGATCAGGAATATATTAATCGAAGTTTAATCATACTAAATTAAATAAATATTCTATTTAACCATGATTGAACTGTAAATAATATTTAATAAAATTTTATTTAGTCATAGAGTTACCACTAAAAAATTTGGACTCGGGAATAATCTATTTTATACGCTCTCGAATGCGACCTTACACACATGCAAAGATAAGCTTATACTAATTAATTATATATCATCATGAAATAATACAAACCAGTATCATTAATTAGTCACTAGTGGAAGATATAAAAATGTGAGATTTGTAACTTCAAGAATCTTGATTAGATCTGTGCTGTTCCTAAGAGTGACAGTTAATGTCACATGCATCAATATATTCATGAGATTCACTATGTCAGTGTAATCTATTAGACAGTGTACTATTTTGTTGTTTTCTGAATCATTTCAATAAAAAAACTAAATGAGAATCTCGTGGCATTATATAGTTTATTTGATTTTTTATTTATTTTTTAGGTGGTCAGCAATTGCAGCAAAATTACCTGGAAGAACAGACAATGAAATAAAAAATGTGTGGCACACACATTTGAAGAAGAAACTAAACAAAATAAGCTCAGAATTATCTAACAAAAGGGTGGTATCAAAACAAAAAATCAAACGTTCTGTTTCAAATTCAAGCACAATAACTGAATCAGAATGCACTACTAGTTCTAGTGATTTTTCATTTGTTGATGAAAGAAAAGATGTAATAAAAAGTGAAGACATTGAGTCTATGGAGGAACCGATGCCAGAAATTGATGAGAGTTTTTGGTCAGAAGCAGCAGCATTGGATGAAACTTCAACTGATATGCCACCAAGTTCTTTAACAATCTCAAATGAGATAATGCCACTTCCATACCCTTCTGACTGTGGTGACATTTTTCCACAAGAGAGTAAGGTTGATTATAATTCTAACTTAGATGATGGCATGGATTTTTGGTATGACATATTCATTAGAAGTGGAGATCAAATAGAATTGCCAGAGTTCTGAATTTTTATAAGCTCAAAAAATAAGTAACTTCAATTATTTTTTTGACAATTAAGAGTTTAGATTCTCACATTGACAACAAGATTCTTTAGCAAAAAAATGGCACATGGCAACTTCAATTTGAGAGTTACAAGGAAAATAAAGGTTTATTATCTCTAGCAGCAAGAGTTTTGGGACAATGAAATGTAATCTATATATCTATAAAAAAGGGAATAGAAGTGAAACATTGATTTTTTTTCTTCTTCTTTTTTATGTATAATGTGGAAAAAGACAAGTCTCTTTAACATTTTTAGTTTTTAGTCTAGTTAGGATTTTAGATTAGAGTTTCATTGTAATACAATAAATGATGTCATAAATTTAAAGTATTCAGAATTTTTATGCCCCAAAGTTTTTTTTAAGACATAAAATATCCTTAAGCTTTCTTATATAATACAATTTAGATAAGTTTTATCCTATTAAAGAGTCGGTGACATGGATTAACTTCTATCATAAAGATGTACAAAATTAAAATATTTCTTAATAATTTATTTTTATAGTTTTCTTATGTCTTCCTCCACCTCTAATTATTTGAACTCTCTTCATCTGATCAACTCTACTTATCACAAAATCTAAAGGTCTTCTCTTTACATGTCCAAACTATCGAAGTTTATTTTTCACCATTTTTTCTATTATAGGTGATATCCCAACAATCTCTCTAATATTGTCATTTCTAATATGATCATGCTTAGTCTTACCACGCATCCAATACAATATCCTCATCTCTGTTACGCTTACTTTGTTTTCGTGTTGATTTTTAAGCGTCCAATATTATGTCTCATACAACATCGCAAATCTTACTGTAGTCCGATAAAACTTTCCCTTCAACTTGAGTGGTACCTTTCTATCATATAAAATCCTTGAAGCCCTCATCCATTTCAACCACCCATATTGAATTCGATGGTTTACATCATCGTCTATTTCTCCATCGTTTTGTATTACAGACCCACGATATTTAAACCAAGAGACTTATGGGATAATATGGTCTCCAACTTTCACCTCTAGGTTAGAAACACTTCTATTTTTGCTGAACTTACATTCCATATATTTTGTCTTACTTCTACTTAGGTGAAAGCCATGTGTTTCTAAGCTCGGCTCCAAGTCTCAAATCCCTCATTTAAATCCTCCTTCGACTTTTCCAATAGGACTATATCATCCGCAAAAAGAATGCGTCTCGGTGCTACCTCTTGGATGAACTATGTGAGTACATCCAAAATTAAAGTAAAAAGGTAAGGGTTTAAAGTTGACCTTTGGTACAAACTTATTGTAATGGGAAAATCGCTCGTCTCTCCATCTTATATCTGCACACTAATCGATATTCCTTCATACATATCTTGGATATCAATTTAGATACATGGAAGAAAATAAATTGTCTCAAAACAAGTGATAGTTCTAGAGTGTGATTGGAGGAGATAATTGGAAAATTCGTTGTCTTTAGGATAAAATCATATGAAGAGAAGAAAATGCAGTGTGTAAAGAATTATCAGGAAAATTTGTATTCAGAATAGTCTGAATCTATTTCATGTTAAAGCAGGAAAACTTGTATTCAGAGTAGCCCGAATCTACTCTATATTAAAGCATTGATAACATTATTAAGAATAATGGCTCGCCACTAATATGGTGTCAAAGACATTCCTATATTTCTAACATGTAAGCAAAACTGTTTATTTTTCTATAAATATGGGACATAATGCAAGTAATTTGTGAAACCAACATTTAATTTGATGGGAGTCGGATTCTATCTCGAGTGAATGTCATCTTTTCTTTTAAACAATCTTAATGGCCAACACCACTTTAATAAACTCAAAATGCAGGGCAATATAGTTGTCGAGACTTTGAGCAAAACTATCCACAGTAGCTTGAAAAATTTATTTGTAGATGTCTCCACAAGCATTAGGACTTGGGCAACCTTGAGCAACTTCATATGTGTTATATTTTACCTAACAAAATTTAGGGAATGCTAGAAGACTTCCTTGATCCTAGGAGTATTAGGAAGATGATCCTTAATCATAAAATATTTGGATGAAGGATGTTAGGATTCCAAATGGTTTTAGCCCAAGGAACACGTGGACCATTAAATTTGTAAAACAATTAAGTATCTTTGAAGCTAAGATTTCTAGAAGAGGATGAATCCCAAATATGATTATCAGAATTATCAAACATATAACATATTTCACTCTTCTCTCTCAAAACACAACCCTAGCATCCATGTAGGTACTCATCACACATACTGCAACCTTCAAATTCGTCTTCACCAATGGCTACCTTCGAGTACGTTCATTAAACTTATGCTCCGATTTCGTTTACGCTTCTTGTTAAAAATGTTGTCTCGTTTTTTCATTTGGTGAATGTTCTATGTAATATTGTTAATGTCATGGTGTTTTTTTACTTATAGGGAAAGTGAATGAAGAAAACCACCTTAACAAAGTGCATATTTTGGCTATGGTACATATGGTTTGTGTTGCTATGAAAAACAATACAAGAAGTATGAAGCTATTGTATAAACTTCATCCACCTTGTATTTATTTTTCATATCAATATAAACTAGATGAACTTCATCATTGATTCCAGTTCCACGATTGTTTTCAATAAAAGGTGCGTTCTTGAATCATTTTATTATATCTTGTGTTGTTGTATGTTATTGGTGTTTTGTTGATAAAAGGTATTTTATGTTTTTTATATTGTTGTTGTGTTGTTGTATGTTGTTGTTGATGATTAATATTCTCAGAACAAGAACAAAACATTGCTAAGTCACAAAAAAAAAGCTTCATGTGACTTAGCAATGTTTTGTTCTTTAAATTCTTAGATTGACAGAAGATCAAGTTGAGTCTATTATATTGTTTGTTTCACTAACCCTTCACTAAAAATACATTCATTTAAATTAACATAGAAACTTACAATTCAAAAATTAAGTTGTATTTGAAAACCAATTTATATCAATCAATGTTTTTCGAATTGCATCGGTCTCATAATTTATCTCATGCTCTTTAACATTAAAATATGGTTCAATGACCTAAGTCCTTCATGTTAGAACAAGATTTGGTTAAGCAATACTATCTCTGAGTTTTGATGATAATAAATGAGTATGTTTGTATGAGCAATTTTGATACTCTAATGTTTATTATTTTTTAGTATTTAACAAAGAGGTTCTGCTTCTGATGGATGGAATGGCCAAGACATTAGGAGAGAATTAATTTTGCTTCTGCGCTACACAAGTTCTGATGAACAGTAGCAAGACACTCTAGAAGACTATGAAGTGTAGGCTCTGATATGAAGTCTAAAGAAACTAGTCAGAAGATCTGAAGATAGAAGTTTCTACTTAAGTCTAGATGCTAAAGACTCATGTTTCTGAAGACAACGTGTTATAAAGAAACAAGTTAGAAGATCTGAAATAGGAGTTTCAACTTAAGTCCAGATGTTGAAGGATAATGTTTATGAAGACAAAGGGTTCTCAAGACCATGTGTTGAATATTCTGATAGACGAATTTCTAAAGACTCTGAAGACTTAAAGTTCTAAAGACCCATGGTTCTAAGAAAAGGGTTCTAAAGACCAAGTGCTAAAGACTCTAAATACAGAAGTTTTAAAGACTCTAAAGACTTGAAGTTCTAAAGACCCAAGGTTATCACGATCAAGTGTTGAAGACTCTGAAGGTGCAGTTCTGAAGACTTTGAAGACTTGAAGTTTTGATGACCTTATGTTATGTTCTCGCTTCTAAACTCATGCTCGAAGAATCCTCTGAAGTGCAGAAGGAAATAAGATAATGTTAACGTGGTACAAATAGTACATGGTACAATCAACGTTTCATTCCACTACCATGAAAGGACGGACGCGTTGCACGATCTTATCCCCCACGTGATTGCTCAAGCTACCAATGTTTCTGGAAATCCCAAGAGTACCCCTCAATGGATATATTATTTTATTTGCTATATAAAGGCTTGAAGACTAAGAGAGAAAGCTGAAGCTAATTTTTACTGCATATCCACGCACAAGCATTGTTCATAGCTTTCATATTCTTAAGTCATTGTTCTTAAAATAGTTTACATATTCCGCTTGTGTAGAAGCAATATTATTGTAATCAAAACTTGAATTCAAACATTTGTTTGATTTCCTTAAGGGACCGGTTAGGTCTGTATCCTTAAGAAGTCTAGGACTAGTGTAATACGGTGGGAGAACTGACTTGAGGGTTTTTCGTTTGATCACAAATGTTGCGGTTAGCAAGAGTCGCCACTGACTTTTCTTTTATCCAAAAGGAAAGGTGAAAAATCACAGGAAAGACCGTTGAGATTATTTCTTGAGTTCGGGGGGTAGATTATGAAAAGGGAAGGTATTAGCACCCTTCTCATCCATGGTTTTCCATGGGCTCTTAGTTGCTTGCTAGATCACTTGCTTTTGTTTGAATGTGCTTGTGATGTGGTTTTTTGAAAGTATTTTGAAAATGTAACTTTGTAATGATTCTCGTTCCTATAAGAACGCATACAAAGTGTTTGTTTCGAAGATAGTTCAAAAAAAGGTGTTTGTGAGATGTGTTTTTTGAAAGTGATTTTTGAAAGGTGTCTTCGTAATGATTCTCGTCTCCATAAGAACGCATACAAAGTGTTGTCTTTTGAAAATGTTTCAAAGTGAGAGTGTCGATGTATATAATGTTTTTTTTATGAGCAAGCAAGCAACAAGGAGCGAATCTACCTACTCAAAAGGTCTTTAGATGTTCTTTTCCTCCTCCTTTAAGTGTTGCTATCTTACCATTGATTTGGTGAGAAGCCCCATCGTTGGATGTGAAGGGACGGGCGTGGCTCATCGTATAGTCATAGAAAGCAGCCTATGGATGTTTTAGTAATGTCGTTTAGGGACTAGATCATTTACCGAAGGCAACATCGAGGGTCATCGAGGGACGGCGATCTTTTATCGAGGGTCTTTGCTAAAACGCCCATGTTCGAGGGACGTGACTATTTTTTCTGATAGGTAACAA